TTTTTTTCAAAAGGGAAAGGAATATCTTGCCTGCCATTCAGTTTACTGCATCAAGAGATGTTGATTCTCAAAAGTTCTGTTAAATGTTTTTGAGCAGATTATCTTCTTTCTTATGGAATCTATGCGATTTCCTTGGTACAGTCACCGGGCAGAGTTGGCCGAGGGACCATTATGGACCTTTTAGTGGCCCTGTTCAGGAAAGCAAGGGGCTGTGAAAACATACACGAAGTAAGACTTTTGCACTTCCCAGAGTGACAGTGTACTCCCAAGTACAGAGTATAAGCTTTTATTATCAGAAATCTCCTTATGTGTCATTATGGAATTTATATGTGAAGGAGAAGCCCTCTTGAATAGCTTAGTGATAAATCCCAACCATATCTAAAAATTGAGAGTCCCTGGTTATTTTTATTTGCAAGAGGTGTTTTCTAGAACACTACCCTCGCTCATTCCTATAAAGATTAACTTTGTGTCTCAGCTGCATATTAACATAAGAAAACTCAGAAAAGTTGTTTCTACAGAAAGGTCTTCCCCTCCTCTTTTTAAAATGGCGTCATTATGCCTTATTACTTCCAATTTTGTTTTCATTCTGTGAATGCAGTACTCAAGGACTGAAATCTTGGTTCTTAGTGCTCCATCCCATCTGGGCTGCAGTTTGCTAAAGCATCCTGGTCACCATCCCTCATTGAAGTGAGAAGAGTTGAGGGTTTTGAGACAAAGTAGGTTTCTTGTGGCATGTGGTGCCCCCAAACTGTTGGGATATGCTTGGTTAAGTATCTGGGTTATGACTAGACTAGTGTTGCCTGTTTCGGACTGTTTCTGTGCCATTTTCCTGGTGGACCTGGTCTTTACAGGTTGATTCTTTCTCATACTTACATGCAGCATTTTTGACACACTCAGCCCCCTTCATGTCTCACCTCTGGGCATTCCTGCCTCTGGGCATGTGCTTCTCACTCCTGAGTCCTGTCTATATCCTTATGGGATCTTCAGACACTTCATGCCACTACTAATCTTGTTTTCTGCCTACTACCACTTTATGCTGTGCCCATGTGTCCCCAGCTCTGTGATGGACAATTCTTGACATTACCTCTGTCACCTTTTCTCTTCTACCTGTGCCCTACTTCAGTGTGGTTGGTTCCCCTCCCGCCACCCCCACCTCCCTGAAATTACTGTCATGGAGATAGTACTTTTTGTATGTTAGCCAAAATTGGAAATGGGAGGTTGGGAGCCAAGAGTCACGATGCCAGTCATATACCCTGGAAATGATACTCTGTTGACTCATTTAAATACATGCCACACCTCCATTTATCACTGCCATTTAATCATAGCATCCACCTCTTGTGGCTCACTTTTACTTCTCTAAC